TTAAAACATCATAATTAGCTTTATAATTCTTTTATATAAAAATATACGAATCCAAGATGTAATTAGAGACTATTTTTTTGCTGTTGTGGTGGGGATCAATGAAAATGTTGCCCCTTAGACCCCGAAGTGTCTTATTTCGTGAATGCAGCTTACATAATATGTAGACTTAATTTATATACTTGCGTTATTATTCAGTTATTTTTTTTTTTGTCAAATACTTTCAAGGCCATCATCAATTGGATAAATTTAAATTTGTACAAGATACATCCGGATCGAACAAAAAAAAAAAAAACAACAAGTACAAGGATCCTATAAAATTTACAAAAAAAATTAAGAAACGATCACATTTTTTCTCAAAAATATGTGTATTATTAGTTACTACTTGGTACTAATGTCTAACGTCTTATTAGTTGATTTTAATTCATATTTAATTTTATAATTGTTCTGTTAACTCTCACACAATTTTATATTAATTAAGAAGTTTGACATGAAATACATGACATTTTTTACAATATAATGTTATTATAATTATGATTAAAAATTTTAAGTCAACAATTTGGATAAACGTTCAAATGCTTGTACTACCTACGACACAATTGATTGTGTATGACATAGAATTTTAATTGTATTAATTCAATGCTAATAAAACAGTAACAATTATCAGTTGTATACTAAAAATGCAAAATGTTTTATATCTTCTGCAATATTAAATAACCATGATTTTATGGATACTGCCGGAATTGAAATTAGAATATATAACCAGCGTTTTGTATCTAAATACCAATTATGCGCACTAATGACTAATCAGTATGAAATGACTAATCACCTGTGGATAATTATACAGTACTAAAAAAGTGAATATATTGCCTTAAGAAATATCATTATTACGTTCTATTTAATATAATATTTAGTGTTAAAACTTAAAAAAATACCGTTGCGAGTCATGCACACCATATACATTCTATAATTATTATGATATTAAAGTAAACTATTATAAATATTTTTTAAACTCAGCAAAGTATAATTTTAATGAATAATATACTTGTCTTATAAATAATAACATGCAGTTTTATCGGGCAATTTCAGGATTGTGGTGATACATAATAATTTATGTATTGCGTGAACGATGCGCAAGTTATTGAACCTAAATGTACCTAATAAATTATATTGATAATTATAAAAAATGTTTTTCTTTCCTAGGAGTCAAACGCATATTATCATATAAATTACTTTCATTATGTTTTTAATATTTCTATAGTAGTTATTTATAGTCACTATTCGCTAGTCATTTCACTTACTTTGATTTGTAATTACTATTTTATTGATATGCACACAAACGGTGTACATGACCTGGCTATTTGTTAAGATGATAAGTCATGATTTATTGAATGATGGAATGACATGATATTATTGTAACGTTTATAATATTATATTGTTAGAATTCAACAATACTAGTATATTTTATTGGTATTTTTTCAAACATTTTTTTGGCAATATTGTATTTAAATACATTAAGGCCTAGGTCAGTGGTCACGCGAAGCTCACCCAATTCGGCAAAAACCAATCACAATAATATTACCCCAAGGTCCACAGGCTGTTTAAATAGGCATCTTGTCGATATTTGATACAATATTATTACTTCCACGATAATTTGCTTCGGGCATCGAGTTTCTATCTATTTACTGAAAAACATGTTGCTGCTATCCGATTTGACCGAAATCTCGACACATGTGGTGGCGACCAAGACTAGTTTGCAGTGTATGACCCAGTCCTTAATTAAGAGTCAATGCAATTACAATATTATTGACAGTAATGGTGTTTTTGTTATAATTCAATAATTATTATTATTAACAACGATTGCTAATTTATCAAGATATTTCTTTCATCTAATATCATATCTATTGTATAATAATTAATTTTAATATTTATGATATGTATTGACGAGTCTATGAAATTCAAGTTAGTTATCACTAAGTCAGTTGTGATAATATTTAAAAAAAATAAAGGTTCTACTAAATTAGCTCATGAACATTACAAGAAAATCACCGAACACCGACCGGCTGTGTCGCAAAAATATGGTCCAAATTTATTGTAACCACCAAAGTGCACTCCGAACAGAAATTATATTGTTCTCATAAAATAATAATAATAACAATAACAATATTGTTTATTATTTAAAAGAATCTCTATTCGCAAATAATAACATATTTATGATTATTATTATACAAAAAAAGTACACAATATTTATCATATTATAATACAATAGATTAAAAATTATATTTTAAATTACCTATACTTTTTGAAATTAATTTTTTTTTTATTTTATTTGCAAACATGATTTAAATTTTTCAATAACATCACAATTGAAAAAAATCAGTATGCAGTAACAGCAAATTTTTTTGCAAATGTTTTTAACATTGTAATTAGAAACCAAAACACAGAGACGGTACAAAACTATCTCCAAAAAACCATTGCCAATCTCACAAAGTTTTCAAACAACACAGGTTTCAATTTTTCTTGTGAGAAATATTAATATATACTATTCTCAAACAAAATAAACCAAGAAACATCCCATATAAAAACAAATAACATATATATCCTGAATCAAAGAAAAATCAAAATCCTCTGTATGATATTTGACTCAAAACTCAGTTGGCTACCCCACTTAAAATCTACCAAAATCTTTATATTACACAAACTCTATATCATAAAAATAATTTCACACATATCTACACATCTTAGGGTAGCGACACTTCTTCATTATTAAAGATTTACTGAGCGTTAATTAGATCCAACGCAGAAGAACATGGTTCAAATATATTTAGAACTGCCAACCAAAAATACTTAAATTAAATGCCTGAACTTGATACGCCTCTAAACATTGGCTCATGCTTTGTACTAGGATGCTTTAAGTCCAGACCAATAGAGAGTTTGAGAAACTTAGCTAATGAACTTCCACCGGACATAAGAATAATGTATAATACATTTCTCTATACAGTCAAATTACTCATAAACATTGAAAATCCTGCAAACAAATACCTAGCAAAAAAAAACATAAAAGAAGCTGCAAAATATCAAATAGACCTACAACACCTAGTAAAAAGAAAATTGTAAAACATCCCCCCTTGAAAAATGCACATGGATATAAACCTAGAAATCTCAGAATTCAAAAAAGAAAGCACAAGCCCCACCATGTACAGAAACATCTTCCAAAACGTACTACAATAATACCTTAACTACAATCACATTTACATTCATGCATCCAAACTAAACCATAACGTTGGGATATCGATAGTAACAGAAAACTCTACCACTACCTACAAACTCCCTCTTGAATTCTCAATGTATACAACTGAAATTTTTGCTATGTACAAAGCAGTATAAAATACGATTAAAAACAATAATGCGTCTGAAAACAATTACTTAATACTAAGCGACCCTCTCAGTAGCTCAACAGGCATAAATAACCCAATAGATACAACAGACATATCTAAACGTATTCAAGAAAAAACTTACAAAGCATGCCAAAAAGGAAGTGATATCTCGTCTATGGATACCCGGACACCGCGGAACAGATGGGAACAAACTTTCAGATCAAGAAGCATCCAAAGCAACTTCATCTACCAACACCCAAACTCTAAACCTAAGCACATTTTCAGATTCAAACAAACTCATCCAAAAGACTCTATACCAAAAATTGCAAAATTACTGGACAAAACAAAACACAATAAAATACAATAAATAAAACAATTAAACACAAAAAAAAACAATATTCAAGTATGCCAAAACTCAGGCCAAAACAGGAAAGATGAAACCATTTTAAATCGCCTGCGAATGGACACACCTTCGTAACACAAAATCATCTCATGGCTAGTAAAACCCCCTCCTAAATGTAAATCATGAGGCCTAGCGATCACCGTGAAACACATAGTAACGTAATGTTTAACGTACGCAGACTTAAAAATGAAAAACCGCCAAACTAGTTAAGTAAAACCCTTCATCCTGATCTCCCATCAAACGTCAACATTATCAACTCCCTGATGAAAATTAATTTACAAAACCTAATTTAAGACTAAATGAAATGTATATTAAGAACTAATGGCCCAGTATCCGATGTTTTTTGTTCAATAAAAAAAAAAAAAATAATAATACTAATAATAAACCATCTTAATAATTTTCTATGTAAATTGTCTAAGTGACTTGCTGCATGATGAATTCCCAGCGCATGGAGTTATCATGAATACCTACATTGTGAGAAAAATATTTTGTTATTTCAATAATATTATTTTATATTATTATCAAATTACTCTTGAGTCTAGGTAATACAAACATTTCAACTCAGAACATTAAAAAAAATCATTAAAAAAAAATAAGAAATTAAATAATATGCAAATGGTATTATTGCAAAATAACAATTTTCGTTTGTGAAAACTTGAGTAGCAGGTTTTACAGAATGCTCGGTGTATTATACCATTATGTGTACATTCTTTATCATGAATTTTTCTATATAAAATAAGTTTGCACCTTAAGGTTAAAATATAATTATTTATTTTTTGTTACTACGGTCTACTACTAATTGTATGGTATTTAGTTTTATTTTAATCCTTAATATCGCCTCGTGTTATAAATATTTTGTATATAAATATATCAGGTATTAGCACCGGTTTATATATTACTATTTACATTAATTTTTTGCCACTAACATTTTGGTTAATGATCATTTTATATTAAAGTAATACTAAAATAGTAGTACAATGGTTTATGATTTCTCATTACCAATATAATATATATATTGTTAAACATATAATAAATTATATTCCATACAATTTTATAATTGGTATTTACTTTTCAAACCTATTGGTATAAATGTATAATCATGATTCCAATAAATTTCATAGTAATATTTATCATGTTGGAAAAAAAGGAATATTAAAGATGGTATTGATGTTATATGAATTATATAGATATTAGTGTATACTAAAATAACTATGACAAACGAATAAAAGTTTTACAATTTTTACTAACTCAAAGCTACGAGTCGATATAAACTTATTTATATGAAATCAATAATAAATTGCTTAGAAATAAGTTATTGACAGTTGGATTATAAATAACAAATAAAAATGTACCTAATGATGATTTTATATTAAACTTAATTACTATAAAATAGTAGATCTGATATAGTATCAACCTTTATAGTTTAGTTTTCTTCACTATAAATTTTGGAATGTCCATCAGATTCATTCCTGTGAACAATTGTAACATGCAGGCAACGACAACTGAAATAATTACAAAATGTATTAGAATATAATTATGATGTCTTTGTTTTAATAATACAGTCGTCACTCGATAATTCGTTCCTCCATAATTCGAAAAACTCCATAAATCAAACTAAACTCTTGATCCCCTCTATTATTTGAAAAAAATACAAGTATTTTGGTCCCCTAGATAATTTGAAATATCTGTCAGTGGGAGACACTCTACAATTCGATTTTTTTTGTCAGAACCTTTGAAATTCGAATTTCTTTAAATACGATTATATATAGATTATGTAAATATAAATAAATTATTTTACGGACTCGTAATAAAACTAAACTATATAATAAAATATTATTTTACTTTGTTATTTAATGCTATCAGTGAGTTAGATAACGCTGTGGACCAGATTATTGACAACAATTTATAAAAAAAATTAATAGATTCCTTTAATAACATTCAATAACATAATATAAAAATAAAAAAAAATAACTCAATAAACTAAATGTAATGAATAATAAAATTATATAAATACAATTTGTGTCAAAACATTTTTCACCTTTCTTTAATTCAAATTTTTTTCCTCTCAATTATTCGAACACTAGATAAATCAAAAACCTCTATGAATCGAATTTTTAGCACTGTCCTCAGAATTTTGAACTATCGAGTTAGTATCGAGTTACTACTGTATTATAGAATTGTTAAAATACATATATCATATTAATTAAACTGATATAGTTATTTCTTGTAAAATTAATTGCTATTATCGAAATATTAATTTGTATGTCGATATCTATTTTGTGTGTTTAATAAACATATTATTTAGTATTTAAAAATAATCTATTTTATGATAGATATTAATATTCTTTGTCTGGGGACACTTCCCATCTAATCTCAAATTATGTTTGGCTTGATTCCTTTTCCCTTAGAAACAAGTTAACTGATATCATGTTTATCTTTGATGTTGTTAGGTAACTATAATATTGTTCTTCTCGAGTTATTTTCTGAAATTGGTTTTTGAATTCCATAACAAAATATACACAATTTATATTTATTTTTAGTCTTTCATTTCAAAACTTACTGTGATAGAAATTCTTTTTTTTCGAAAGAATTAATGTTAACAAATAAAATTTTTGTCAACTTAGATATCTTTGTTCATTCCCGAAATTTGTTTAAATTCAAATCGATATTATTGTTAAAAGATATTATATATAATAAGCAGGAAGGAGATAACAATAAAGAAAAAGGGAGAATACGAAATAAAAAAAGTATATAATTTGTTTGCAGTTTTGTATATCTGTCATTACATAATAATGTCATGCTTTTCTTGTTTTTATTATTATATTTAATATTTTGTTTATGTTCATATTTCCTTACGTTACTTGATATATTGTTATTTATTTATCAATTATATTACCTATTTATTATATTATGTTCATTCTTAGATTAAAGTTAAAATTTTTGATATAAGTTTATGCATATTTTGTTGTTATATATTTTGTAAAAGTACAGATGTCCATTAATACTAACTAATAAATAAATAAATAATGTTACTGATGTTTGGTACCTTTATTATACATGTATAATATTATTGCTATAGTGTTATTTGTTAGTTATTTTCAAGTTATTGTGGAACAAATATGTTCAATACATTTAATACCGTTTTGAGTTTCTTACCTATGCATAATTTAAGATAGAAAAACATTGATTTCAAAATTGCTGATTTATTTTCATATAAGTCATTTAAAAAAAATATCATGAAACAATTATTATACTTTGTTTAAATATATAAACACCATTGATTTTATAATATACTATTTTGTATTATAAAATCAATGATAAACATAGTGATAAACACACACGAAATACAGATTATAATTGTTTATAATAACATATAATTAAATAAAAACCTGAAATGTACAAAATATAATATTATGAACTTGTGTTTTTATCAAGTACGCATTTCGACAATATTATTGTTGTTATCGTTATTACCGGTTATGTCAGGTACCTAATTCTATTATAAACTTGGTTTGTATTTGGCACTGATTATGACAACATTGTAGTCGTAATACGTATTGCGTAGAGCGTACTACTAAAAATATTTTATGTATCTTTTGATTATATTTAATTATAAAATAATTCCAACTACTAAGTAAAAAGTTATTTTTTGTATCGTGTTGTAATTAAATAATATTTCATACAATATACTTCAGTTATGAGGATTTATGTATTCAAGCAATTGAAACAAAATATTTTTAATTGTTAAATTATAACCTGTATATAGAAATTTAATTTAAGGCGCTTATCGTGTTATTGTATCATAGACCATATAGTGCTGTATTAAACATTTTTGTTCCAAGTAACTGTATTAATTACCTTAGAAAAACTCAACGAAGATCTAATTATTTTTAATTTATTTCGTAAATTTTTACCTATTATATCAATGTAATCCTTTTTGGCTTTCATTACCAATCGCTCCGTTGCTGGTTTTGTCATTGTGAGAATGCACCGTGTAACATTATCGACTGATCTGTAAATATATTAAATTTACACTTTTACCAAATTATTATGCCTATAATACCTTCAAATAATTTCTTTCGATGAAACAATAGATAATTTGTTTGTATAGTGTAGACCAGTGATCTCAAACTCAAATTACAAACGGGCCACATACGCCACAGGTTCGAGGGCAATTAAATTTTTTTAATCTTTTTTTTTTTTATTCATATTAATATTAAATCCAAAGTAAACAAAATAAATGAAACTAAAATATATTTATTTTATTGATTATAATTATTGTAATATAACTACTGTATTTAACGGTACACACGACGACACATTGATGTTTCCCTAAATCATTTTTTATTTGTATTTGAAAAAAAAAATTCAACATTTTTGAATGAATAAATGTTTATTGTGGGTCAAACGTTTGAAACCACTGGTTCAGACTTCACATTAAATAATATGTGTGTCAAGAAAGGAATAATTTTTTACTTGGCTAAGATAATGTGTTATCTGACATAAATATTTTAACTTTAAGTCACGTATGTACAATACTAGCTACATTTCCATACTTCTTAAGATTAATTGACCTTTTTATCGTTTTCCGATTTGCATCAGTTTAAATATATTATATTATAAACACAATTTATTACAATGACTAATTTTATGATGCTTCAATTTCTAGTTCTGGAGATATTTTTTTATAATCTGAATACGTATTCAATTAATAATAAAAGCCAATGTGTATCAAAACGTCAAGGTCAGTTTATACATGGGTCTTACAGAGTTTGTTATGTGTCTACATAAAAATATTTCCAGAATTAAGAAATTAAATATAGGTTGCAAACGGTGGAAGACATAAGCGCCAAAATAAGATAAGAAAAAAAAAGTCGTATCGTACAAAAGCGCCAAAATCGTATCGTAGCGCCAGAAATTAAATAACAGATATTAAATGTAGAACTATATCCCTCAAAAACTCCAAACGCTAAATCTTAATCGACAAATGTATTATCTGATTACGATAGATTGTCAAATAGACAGTGTGTGAGCAGTTTGTGTTATAAGTTATAACATATTGTTATAGTACCTATTTCGTAAGCATCCGTGTAAGCGTCAATATTGATGTGCATGTATATTATAATTTACTATCAACATAATAATGTTAATATAATATAATTTGTATAAGATATAGAAATTTTTAAATAACTACCTACCTACTTAGTACTTATGTAAAATATTAATTTTGGCTCAAATGATAGGTCATTTTTGTACCTTTGGCGCTTATATCATACAGCCGTTGCAAATCATAAATGTAATCATATTGTAATCGTGTTCAAAAGTATATTTTGATTTTAAGATTTGATTTTTTTTTTAAATATATTTTTATAGGTACATTGTTGCATGCCGTATTTCTATTAATTATTTTCTTCTTTATACATATATATAATTCTACTGCACGTGTGTATGCCACTGAACTCCTTCTAAACGGCTTGACCGATTTGAATGATTTTTTTTGTATACGTTTTTGTGACGCCTTGTATGGTTTAGATTCACAATTGGACCCGATAGGTCTGAGTCAGGGAGTTGCTCAAACAGTGATTTTAAGATTTACGAAGGAATATAAATATAAATATAAATATATTTAGTAGAAATTGGTATGTTTTTTTGTTTATTGGTTGCCTGCAGTGGTTCATCGGGCAGATCTGGTATGAGCATGCATACAATTTAATTTTGGCACATTGCCTACCAAGGTAGCTGAGTTGCACTTAAAGTTGCACTCATCGGCGTGTCCGCAATCAAAATAAAAATTCAACATATTATTTATATAAAGCCATCAAGCGAGGTCTGCAATCCACAGCAGGTAAGCATGTATACTGCTCTCATTATCACCATTGAGTCTCATATAGAGTTGGCATTTCTAACGGACAACAAAGTGCACGGGATTAGCTAGTAATACTGTATGATAGAAGTATAAATTGTAAACCATATTTTATGATTTACTCATATACAATTTGTGTCTAGAAAGTTTGGAAAAATATAATACTATAATGTCTATAAGACTCCAGAATGGTGAAAATATTTTTGCCCAGCGTCGCGTATTGTTCAAGAGGAGGGACTATTACCAAAATGGAAATTTTAGTGCTTCCACAAGCATAAAAAAATTCGAAGTTAAAAATGGATTTTTACTTTTTAAAAGTTTTTCTGAAATTAGTTCTTGTTAATTGTTCGCACTCTGCACAGAAGACATTCAACAATACTTTATTTTTGTTCAAAAGTAATGAATTTATTTTATCCATCTAAATTCGTTTTATTATTATACAATAAACACATAACCTACATGTCATTTGGTTACATCATATTAAACAATTCAATTTTAATACAATAATTTTGTGTATTTCTAGAAAGTTTTTATTTTCGTATCATGATTCAATGGAGATAATTAATGTAAATTGTAAAAAGTCACTTATAGTTACTGAATCATGTATAATTGATTTTAAATTCGATTGACATATATACTGAACGGAATTGAGCAATAATGTCATCTTTATGATGATCTTTAAATGTTTATCTATGTTATATATATACACATATGAATATATTATATTATATATATACATATTAAAACACAGTTTAACAAAACTTATTTTCTTGGGTGACAGAAATTAATCCCAAAAATTATTTTTAAAAATACAAAATTCTTTATTTATTAATAACATACCTTTGGGTTCCATTCCATACGGCATTTATTTCCATTTCTGCGCAGGTGGGAGGACAATCGCACAATGTATAATTTTTAGCTACAACAAAAATATATTACTCAATACAAACAATTAATAATTGTCTGACTAAAATAAGTTATAACTAATTACTAATAAAATGCCAAAAAATATTAAATATTTTTCAAGTAAAAACAAAAATATACATTTTATTTCTAAATGTTTGCCAATAATAACATAAATGATTAGTTATAATTTAGTTTTATTTACAATTTTGCTGTGTTATTGGTACGGGTCCACGTAAAAACCTGGAATGTAAAAACCTGGACTGTGCAAATCTGGATGGTAAAATTCTGGAACGTAAAAACTTGGATGGTACAAATCTGGAACGTAAAAACTTGGACGGTACAAATCTGGAAATTAATAACTAAAAATCCACTCAATTCTGGACGGTACAAATTTGGAATTTAATAATTAAAAATCCATATAATTCTAGGCGGTGCAAATCTGTTTTAAAAACTAGTAATAATTAATAATTTACTTTAGTAGGAAAATGCTCAGACATGCAATTTAAAATATCAATTCTTTGATGAATTGTGTCAGTGATGTTATGCTAGCGGCACTCGTCACTACGCTCCTCGGTGCCATTGCTCCGCTCCGCTAATCGGAAATATCCCCTGACTTGCTGTGCAAACCCACCTCATGTAGGTCACAGGGTAAAAACTAAATGTATTAAGGTATTTATACCTTCCAACAATCTCTGATAATCTTAATAATCTTACACAAGTTAATAGGTATCTATTATGTTTATATTCCAGATTTGTAGTGTCCAGATTTTTACGGTCCGGCTTTTAACCGTCCAGATTTTTACGGATTTCATAATTATATATTCCAGATTTGTTCGGTCCAGTTTAGTACCGTAAAGAATTTAACAGTCCGGTTTTGTTAAGTCTAGATTTTTACGGATTTCAACATTTCATTTTGTACCGTCCAAATTTATACGTTCCAAATTTTTACCATCCAGATTTGCACCGTCCAGATTTTTACATTCTAGGTTTATACGCGCTCCTATTGGTACCAAGTAATTTTGATTTTCGTATAAATAAAGTTTGATTATACATTTTAGGGACATTTTCTTTTAATTATATAGTCACTCTGATACTGTTTTATCGTAAGTCTTTGTTACCTTGTATTACTTATTTGGTTATTCACAATTTGATATCGTAACGGAACAGATTTAGTGCCAATAACTGGCCAAAACCATATGACTCCACTAGATACCGAATTTTTATACTTGGTAATATTTGTAAGCAGCGTGGTACAAAACAATTTACATTAAAATGGTTCAAAATGTAAAATAATTAGTCTCAAAAAAACGTTCTTCTACATCAATAAAATATTTCTTAAATTGTGTTGAACTGGATCGAGTAAATCACATAAAATATTTTGGAATTTATCTCTTGATTCAACTTTCTCATTCAATGAGCATTATGATTACATGCTAAATAAAGCTTCTTCGCTGTTAGACTTTATAAATTGGAGCTATAATAATTTTGACAATCCACTGGGCACTGGTTCTTAAATCACTCTACTGTGCCTTTATCCGATCAATTTTAGATTACAACTCAGTAATTTGGTCTTCTTATTCTACTTGTCCTATCCAGTCTCCCGAGGCAATCTAATCGCTTTTTAAAACTTGCAAGAAATAATTAATGTAATATTCTACGTTAGCCTCACTTATCTAATCAACCTACATTTAAAGCTTGTCACTCTACAAGTTAGAAATGACAAATCAGGATATTATTTATTTATTTGTACAAACCATATAATGGCTTTATCTACTCTGTTCAGATCTATTATACAAACTAACATTTCTAGTTTAAGGTCATACAACCAGGCATGTTAACACTTTTTAAGAGTAATTTCAGAGTATTGACGTCATAATAAAGCAACAAATTTCCTTTAAACAAACTCCGGAATATCGTTAAAAATCTTAATATTGATATTTTTATATGTATTTCTGTTGGTTCATTTAAAGTAGATTTACAGTATCCGTAGTAATTTAATCGTTTGAATGTAAATACAATGGACCTCATACAGCATCTTGTACTATATTATATAGTTATTTTATGTGTTTACATATACTTATTGTAATTCGGCTCGCCCGTTTCTGAATATCATATGATGTATAAACAACAAAAATAAAATAAATAGCTTAAAATTAGTCCAAATATTTTGAACATTTTATTGTGTTTATAAAATGATAATTAAAATAATAATGGTTCTCCTATTCAAGTACTTACGATCAATATCTTTTGAACTACAACAAAATAGAAAATCGTTTGAGTCGATTGTTTGAAGAGAAATCGTTATTATAAACGTTTGAGTAGTCATATCAACACAGTTTGAACTTCAATCGATCATGATACAGTTATGTGGCTTTATGTTATTTTATTTTACATTCTCTGTAAAGAAAACTCATAAAGAATCTCGTATTTAATTATTAAGTTATTTTTTTTTTTAATTCCTAAATTGTATTATATCATACAGTTCATACTTTAATTAATGAAAAAACAGAAAATTTTTTTAAATTTTAAATTTCTAGAAATAGAAACATAAAAAGAATGGAAATATTTTGAAAGTTATATAATTTAATATACTTAACGCTTGAATAAATATTTGGTGAACATGTCCTTGCAATTATTCATTTTTCAATTAGTTGAAATAATATAAGCAATATAGATTTACCCAAAAATTGTTTTTGTGCGAAAAAACGAGTTTTTCTATCACTTGTCCTGTTCTTACTGATTTGCTTTTCAAAAGCATTAACAAATTTGGTTTGTGATGTTTAATGTACCAAATAGATAAAATTTTTACAAATTAAATCTTTTTGATGACTTTTTATATAAAATATCAGACATTTTTTTTTATTTTGATTGCGTTTAATATAATTTTTTGGTATTCATTTGTATTATTATTATTATTATTATAATACACAACCATTCCGCTTACAATCTAAATAAATTATTGAACGCATATTACGTATGTTAGAAGTTTTATATGTTTTGTAGGTATTATTTAAAAGGGTGAAAAACATAAGGATAGTGTATTGGAATTCAGGTATCTTTAATCGTATAAAAAAACATTTCAAAAAAAGTTAACACTTTTTAGAACAATGAATTTATAAAATAATCACCCTAAATATTCTGATAGGACTTTGATTTGTATTTATTGGTATTTGAATATTTATGAAAATTAAGAATCCTATTTTTAAGATATTTACATAATATAAATATAATAAATCTAAATATTTATGTATACAAATTATATGTGCATTAGACAATATCGTATTGGTACTTTTTTATTTTTAATTACCCGAAAACATTTTTATTGGAAGCATAGGAAACTAAAACCAAATCAAAAAAAGCAGGCAAGTCACTCTGTTGTACAGTAGGTGTCTAGAAAGGTTGCTGTAACGTATGGGCTTAAATTTTAGTTTTAATTCAATTATATAAAATCATTTTATAAAAAGACTATTCTGAGCGAAGATCATCTATCAACTTATAATATGTATTACCAAGTATATTTTATGATATTATTGTAATTAAAGAAATTTATTTTATTACTAGGCATTAGTACAATAGTACTACACTAGTTTCAATACATTTTTGCAAACAATTGAAATTGAAAAATTAAAAATGTTATTGTGTAAATAAAATTATAAAATTTAATAATATACTTTAAAATTTTCTAGAACTCAATAGTATTTTTAATTACCACAAGATAACTTATATGGTTATTCTTTGTTTAAGTATCCAATTTCGTCTAAATTTGAACTTAAAATGTCTATAACAAAAAGACTGTGCTTAAACATTTTTTAGTTACAGTATGAAATATTTATAAGAATTATTGCTTTGAATTTTCAATGCTTAGCTATAAAAATTAAAAATTATATCCATTTTTAACCACAAGTTAATATGTACATTTTCGAGATTTTGATGAATTTTGCCAAATTGTCGACTTTAGATGTTCATAAAATCTTTGTGTGGATCTACGATCAATTTTTTTTTAAACTTTTACTGACAACAACTATGAGAAATCTTGTAATACATTTTCCAATTTTTGAAAAATGTCTATGAATAAATCAAAAAAAGCTTGAAATCATTCATCAAATCTTTAATATTTAAGGATATTTAATTTTCCCTACTAACTCAAGTCACCTGCATACTACAAAAAATGACAAATAGCACAGTAGCACTTGTAGTCCCTATTCATGTTAATAGCTTAAAATCCGTGTCAAAGTACAACTATCTGTTTTGATAATAGATAACCAATTACCAGTCAAGTGTTATTAATGGGTGGTTTCTAAATGGATAATAGGTTAATCAAAATATTCATGATAAACTATTCAAATATCAGATATTATACTAATTTTGCTGTGCACAGATTGTGTATGATCCCATAATAATAATAATCTATTGGCCGAACAACAAAGCATATTTTGATATGTGTGGTTTGAATAATTAAAATAAAGATAAATTTATAATTGCAGTAAAAAAACACATACATTTAAATATCAGTATTATAATTAATTATTGTCTTTAATCGAACCATTCAACCTTAATTAATTTTTATAATGAATCATATTATATTTTTAGAACCGTAAATTGTGTAAGGTCGTAGAATCAAAAATATGTGTAAAATAATATGTTATTGAATTGCATTGCTAAAAATGGTAGGTAGGAACTAGGAACGTACAAAATAATAATAATATTACATGTTTCTGTCTTTATCCAGTGGTTCCATAGAAAATTAATAACAAGTAAAAACGTATTGCTCAATATTACAGATATTACGCTCGTATATTGTTCAGCACACAGATTATTTATTGTTTTCTAAACAATACGTTTTTTTTTTTTTTTGTGCGAAGTATACATTATATGAAGGAACTGTCCAAATGGAACGTATTATATTCGAAAAAAGGACCACTGTTACTGAGAAGACCGGAGATACTATACATATGTATAGAATATATATATAGTTTATATACAGCTTAGAACATTTATTTCCTCAATATCTTACCGTATATTTCGGGTTGGCGCAAAGCACACTCTAGTAAACAGGCGGATTTACTGTAAACGGGATGATGAAACAACTTTTTCTCGTCTTGTAACAAACATCCACGTTTGGTCAAGTCCAAAGCTACCAATGAAACGTCCTCGACAATTTGACGGGTCGTATACAACAGTTCCATTTCTTCACCCGTGTTTATCGTAACGTATTGTTTCTGTAATTCCCCAAATTGTACGTCTGCCAAACTGTGCAGCGAAATCTAAAAAAATGTAGCAGTTCAGTATAAGTTTAAAATATAACAGCTGATAATATTATCTCGAAGAGCAGGCCTTCAAGTATAGATAATAGATGAACATTAAACATAATACACCGACCATCGGAGGTAAATATTAATTTATATTGTAATATATATATATATATATATATGTATAAGTGAAATCATTGTTCGCGTTGCATATTCATAGCTAGCAAGACGTTCATGTATTAATAATCACGATTTGTCCAGCCAGAAATTTCTACCGTGAAAAGGGTAAGATGGTTCATAATTATTTTGTTCATAAATTATAATAATAATTATTACTATGCTATAATCTACAATGCCTCGTTAAAATTTAAATTGTCAAGCCATGTCTTGGTTGAATAATTAACTAATCAAATAATAAATGTTATCGTTAATATTATTTTCAAGGTATGAATGAATGCTATGGAAGCTCTAAAAAAATGTTGACCATTAGTATGAATTGCATTTATCAACTATTGTCGTTGACAAACTAGTTATATTATAATTATATTTCAAGTCTATATTTAGAAAAAAATCAGGGTCTAGAAGACACTCCACATTTCTCTGATTTCACTCAATTTCTTTCATTTAGCCGTTATCAAAAATGAAATCATAGAGATGACCCCTTGGTTATTAAACAACTATGTCAAAAGAAAATTCATTGAACTTTCAAAGAGCGACACCCTACCGATAATTTATAAGTTTATAACCAATATCTCAATCAATCTTTCCCGAACTCCATGATTACACCGGAATATACACCAATGGCTCCAAATTGGAAAACGGTGTCGGAGCAGCTGTAGTATTCCAAGACCACATATCCATGCTGAGACTTTAAAATGTTTGCCCTATATACTCAGCTGAGGTAGTGGCAATTTCATTCTCCCGTTATCGCTTAATGTTCATAAAATATTATACTATCAAAAATGTTGTATGATATTATTATTTTTTATTTGTTGATCAAATACACTTCAACAACAACGCTAATCACTTTATCAGCTATTTGATAAATCTACACATTATAAAAAAAACATTTTTATTATTTAGATTTATTCAAAATTATTTCTAGTTTTTAATTTCTGAGTCAATTTAAATAAATATAATGCCAAAAATAATTTATTTATAATATTTAAATTGTATAATATTTTTGTTTACTGTTTCAATTTGAGGTCGATATTATTTAATTTAAATAAAATTCGAATGTTGTTTAAAAATGTCTGTATATTTATGTGTAAAAACATTAAATTATAAATTATTTATTTAACTGTTGATAGCATTATATTGCTATATTAATAAATATTTTAAAGTAATATTAGATACATTGTACTCATAAATGATAAGTGATGATAAGATTGAATTTTGTAAAATAATTTTGATAAATATGAGCACAGTTTAATAATATTTAGGTAATATGATGCTTATACACTCATTTTGGAAACTATTGAAAAATAAAAAATTTTAAACCACTATAATCTAGGAATTAAGTTTTAACTATCTACTAGGAACTATATACATTTTATAACACCGTTTGAATTGTAAAAAATGAAGTATAACTAAACTACAAATATTTTTATTGAATATAAAGTTTATTTTTAGCATATATAGAATAACTAATATTTGAACATAACATCAAATAACAAAATTATTTTTATTTCTACTATGGATGTTGTATAATTTACTTTCTTAAATTGTTTTTTTGTTTCTGTGAAAAAAACGTTTTATTAAATAATACATTGCTTACCTCAACTGGCTCGTTGAATTCCATTTTTAACTCTCCATTTCTCGAAAAATGGCTCACTACTAATTTCTTTTTCCTGTCGAGTATTAAAATATATTTTTCATATTATTATACAATTTTACGCCAGGTGAGTATGTGACATTTAATCATACTTGTTAACTGTTTGTAGAGAATTGATGCAAAAACAAGGGTTTTGAATGATGAATCGGTGTGGTTGAAAATGTCTGCAGCAGTTGAATGGTTTTCCATTCCATGAGCAGTGTTTAAACATATTTTTACACATTACGAAACTATCCTAAAATTAATGGAAAATAAATATGGTATAGTTTAATTTTAAATCATAAAAGTCTATTTTTAAGTTTATTAAGTCTTTTTGATTCTAATATTATGTGTTGCATTGTCATTTGTATTATTTGAAATAACTATTATTTTGAATAAATGGAATACAATATAGTTTAGGTATTTTCTTTTAAGTATTTATCCATAGGCCATTTTTAGGCGTCATAACAATACTTTTGATTGCGGTTTTATTTTGGTTGTAAAATGACACTAGGGATACATTTGAAGCAATACTTCCAGCATTAGGATCCCAAGAGTGTAATTTTAACTTCTACAGAAGTGTAAAAAAAAAATATACATATTATAATATATTATATTTATTTATACGCTTAGTAAACAGGCTAAACCTTTCTAGTTTCATTTTTAAACATAGTCAGTAATGCACATATTACTATAGAACCATATATAGCAATCGTATCTTCTATAAAATTAAAATGACATTTACATTTTTTCCCCATAAATTTTCATAATCGGTTGTATTTAAAATACCAAAAAGCAACATATTATCAAGAAAAATGAAATACACTTAAGTTGTATCTTACAGAAAACACTTTATATTATAAATGTCAACTGTACATTTTTTATTTGAGCGATAAATAACTTATGTAATATGATTTGATATAATTGAGTTGAATAACCCTGAATAATTTTATTTTCAGTCGGCTGTTTTTTAATATTTATGTATACCTACGCAAAAAATATTTATCCACAACCTTGTTTCAGGAGTATTATCAAAAATATGTCACCAAAATGATCTACTGAAAAGATATATTAAATAAAAGTTACTACAAATATTATTTTATTTCTTATAATATATTTTCTTTGTACTATGATAAAAAACAATATTTCCTTAAATAAACAGTTGAGGATTATCACCATTATTCGAAATAATTAAAGTTAGATTTTGAAAATCGCACAATAAAGGAATATAAATTATAATACTGTTACATATCAAACTCAATAGTAAGTCTTGTGCCAAACAGTTAAATAAAATAACTAATAAGTAATGATGAAAAAATCTATTACTTATAGATTTAAAACTAAAAACAAATATACATAATATATTTTTGATTTTGAATTATGTTTCAATTATCGCTTATATGTATAAGAGTTTTGATTCAATAATCTAAAATCATAATAAAAAATCAAACTCGTCATCAAATAAATTCAATTATTATATTTTATTTTATAATTATTATAATCTGTAAAAACATTTTTGATGAGCTGTATATTTTTTTATAATGCTGTAGAATTTGAAGAAATAAAACCGTTGTAAGTTGAATAATAGATTTTTGTAGGCAGACTGATCAGCTATAAGCTGATGTCATATGATCATATCGAATTATGAAATATCGTCTGCATATATATATCTTCTAGAATATTTGTTTTAAACATTTTCACAAATTTTAATTTTAGAAATATTTTGTAGTTTTTATCACCTAATATTGCATAGAAGAAAGTTAACATTGTGTGAAATAAACTAAAAATGAGAAGATTTTGTCTCTTTGTTGTATAGTAAATATTATACCTCGACATTGAGTAAGTTGGACGTAGGACATGTTAAATTAGAATTCGGTGAGAAATCATTGCATTCGAGAAGCAATACTAATTTGAGACGTATAATTATCAACCAATATTTCTAAGGATATTTTATAATTTTTTTATGTACATTCTACATACCAGTAAATTGTTCTAATAATTTTACTGTATGTATGTTGATCTAATATTCACCAAAAATATCATGAATATTATATTATTAGTTATTATTATTATTTTTATTATGGGAAGCCCACGGCAACATAGGACATTGGGTGTGCGGTGGTAACCAATATTGGTAGGAATGTAACACTTGTTTTTGTGTTTGAGGCTAACTGACTACCATGTGTTACTAAAAACCCGTGCGGTCACCCATCTGGGAGCTGTCAATGTACGTACAATCGGAGCGTTTCCGCAGATTGAGCGTAAGACCACGCCTCACCAAGCCACAAGATTCGTTATTATAACTGTACACAATATACTTAAAAGTTAAAATAATATTTTTAACTTACAAGTCAAAATTTATGTAGGATTACTGGCTACCTTACAACGGTATATAATATATAGATTAAGTCTAAATATTTTGAAAATGTTATTGTGTATAAAAAACAATAATATACGCGACGATAAAAAGTTTTGGAAGCACATTGTAAGTACTTTTTAAATTAAATTTGTGTTTAAATAAATTGAGTATATACCTACCTATTCTCGGATTTTTGTTACTATAAAGGAATTTCAATTATTTTTTTTTTTTTTAAACAGATTATTATTCTATTGTAAGTTTACCTTTTTTTTAAACTCGCTCGTCCGTTTTATTATATTTATACTTAAGGTATCGTCAATCTCATTGAACATTGGGTTACTGAAAAAAAAAAAAAAAATAATAATAATAATATTCGCTTAGATATTCATAAAGATAATAATGAATTAAATCAACGCATTAAATATATATTTAATAATTTATACGTATTATAAACTGTTTTCATAATATAACTAACAAAGATATATACATATAATATATTATATATGTTTTTTTTAAAAATATTTTTATCAGCATTCGCATAGGTATAGTGAATACGACTCCATTGAAAGACCTCAGTATAGATTCATAGAATAAAATACACTTCATGTTGTTCACATAATTCGTAGAAGATGTAGTATAACTAATGTAATGATTTCGGAAAATGTACAATACATTTTTATTTAATTATTTACCCAATAAATCGGTATTTTTTAATATAACTTTTATTTACCCTGTCTATTACATGTACACGTTTAACTGTTAAAATAAAATGATAAAATGAAATAACATAGTGAAGGCCCTATGGTATTTCGTCAAGAAATCATTGTCTATAACACTGATAATGTATAAGTAAGGTTTTTTGGACAGAATATTATGGACGTGACTAATAAATATAAAACAGCAAAATGTCTTCTAAGAACCATACTAATACAGCAATACTGTAAGGATCGACCAACCAGATTAAACCATACTAAAATTTATATCTAAGTAAAATATATAAATATTCTTACAGGAAATTTATAATTACACCTTGAGCTTGGTTATATTTATAACAGTTATAGGTATTAATCAGTATAGCATAACTCATTAATAAGTTACGCTTGCAAATGTAATATATTCACATGGAGTAATTTGAATAATGCTTTCGTGATTTGAATGTTTTAAGGACTAGCTTGTGTGTAAAGTAAAATATTTTTATGGACAAATTAATATTTATTCACTAATACCTAGGTATTACCTAAAAATATAATTTTTTTAGTTAATCGTATGTTAATTTAAATACATATTTTATTTAATAGGTATATACGTTTTGTAATGTATTTTCTCAGCTTACTACATTTTTTTTTCACTTAATTACATTAGGTATGCACATAACGCACCTAAAATGTAAACCTAATATGAATAAATTATATTATTAAGTTTTAAGAATAATTCAAAATATTTTAATATTAAAGTTTTAAAATGTGTAACTTTGAAATATAACATTTTATAAAGTATATGGCAAAACAAAAACTTATTAATAATAATGTTCTAAAATATCAATATGATCTAAGGGACAAAGTTTTGGTATTGAATCACATTTACATATACTTTATTCATATGTTTGATAACCCTCTAAATGTGTTTTAGTCATAGGTTAAAATCGTTTGCGTTTGACAAGTCTCAGAAAAATGGCTTTGAATTTCCAATTCTATTGTTATAAAATTTAATATGTTTTATTTATAGCATATAAGTTGTTACACGATAGGTATTTTTTAGTAATATTTTCCGTTCAAAATATATTGAGCCATTAAATTTGTATTATCTTCATAAATATCATCAAAATAAGTGTATAAACGTATTACAATATGATATAAGTTAAAATTACATTATTATTTTTTTTATTGTGACGATCATTATAATACACAAATATTCAAAACAAATATTTTGTTGTTTGGCTGCATGAATAAAAGCAATAACCACGGGAATAAATTGTAGAATACATTGGATGACAGATAGAAAATTTGATTTGGGTGTAAAAGCACAGTCCCCACAGGCCCAATAAACTTTTTTGTGATATTATTTTCTTTTAAATCAAAGAGAGAATAAATAATACTTCATAACATTGTATAAAATATGATTTTAAACTTTTTGTTTTTATGACGTGTATTAGATAATTTTCTATCTTCTACGATCTTCGCTTTCTTCTGTCTGATGACTTATATGTAAATAGATAAAAACAAAATGTAGGTCTATTTAAATAAAATGAATTTAGTTTCATTTAAGTTAATTAACAAAATTAACTACTCTTATAATAAATCTAAAAGTTATTATTCATTAAATTGAAATGTTATCAAAATATTATGGATTTTTGTGAAAAGTAGATAATTTTTTTTGTAACGTAAAATATTAAAATTCAAAAAAGTTATCGAAAACAAATGATACAAAACATATTATGTATAAAAATCACAATTTTAAATTTTTTACTTTTTAAATGTATGAACAATATCCAATCGACAAGTTGTTAAGTAAATAAGTAAGCACTTTACAAAAACAATTATATTCAATTATTTTACTTGGAAATCACTCATTGGTAAGATTAATATTAATTTATTTTTAAATTTATACTGATATTTGTTTATAACAATTAAAAAAATGTCTTATAGCACCGCTGTCAGTTATTCAATAAGATTATCCGTTTTTTTGTTAAAAGTAAAGAATTTTGATTGTGAAAGCTGTACTTAATGGCTTGAATGCATGTCTCAAGGTGTGCTTTGTCAGTGAAATTGAATTTACCATAGCATCCGCAATAATCACATTTATTTTGGAAACTTTTTCAAAATAAAAGTTTTTAGTAAAAAATAAAAATAATATTGGGTCAGTGAAGGGGCGTAAGTCGAAAAGGTAAGGAAAAATGGATTTGAAACTTTTCTACGTAAAATTTCAAAACTAAATGTTTTTTAGAATATGTACATTTTAAACTAAAACTAAAACTTGTAAAGCAAGTTGAATTTTTTAAATATTTATGGTATTATAATAAAATGGATCCATAATGGCTAATAGAGCGATTGCTGTAATACATTAAATCAGTTATTATACTATGTATTCCGATGCATGTGTTTAGATTGTTACCATAATACTATAAAAAATAATGGTTCCATTTTGAGAATAAAAGGACTCTCGATTGCATTTTTTTCTTATTTTATAGAAGTTAATTTTGTTTTAGTACCTATTTCATATTTTATATTTTTTCTATATTATTTTGAATTTGTACATATTTTTAACTTGCCTATACAATTCATCTAGGTGAACCAAATTGTATTCAAACATAGTAAAGTTATTAATTATCAATTAAAATTTGTATAAAAATATATTACTGAATAGATATTTATTGAATTCTATTCCATAAGTAATTATTAATTTCAGTAAGTAAATCGGCGAAAATGGCAATGTTACTTCTTTGCGAGCTTCGCCAATATTTGAATAGGTTTGTTCCTGTCGTATCTAAAATGGTGGCTTATAAAAAGTACAAGAATGAAGAAGATATATCATCAATAATAGTATAGGTAATATGAATTATTGTTTTTATTTTTATAATGATTTTTATTTGATTTGTTTCATACAAAACTTTTTTAATTAATGTTTAAAATGAGTTTCATATTAATTATTGTCGTTTCTTGGAGGTGGATTAAATTTTAAACATTTTTAAATTTACTTTATTTATTTGACTTATCACAGATTTGTTCGTAAAATAAATTATACCAGAACGTGTCTTATCGTTGTTATAATATTATCTGATTAAGAAATTGCCTTGTATGAAGTACGACTTATTGAATGATTTGAAACATATACATTATACAATATACATTTTTATTTTGAATACTAGATGAGTTATTATCAAATACATTTAGTTTAATAATACAGAATTTAAAAAATGTATGTTTGTTACAAATTGTCACAAATTTGAAATGATACGTATAAAAAATATTTTAGAGAAAAATATGCATATTTAAATTTTACACTTACATCTAAATACTAGAGTTAATTAATAATATTATTTGAATTATCATATAATAATTAATAATAATTCAACTCGGTACCAGCAGGTATTAATTATCCATCTGAAGTTTAAAATAAGTTAGACATTTTGTTTTATATTGTTTTATTTTTACAGGTATAAGATTTTTGTAAACTATTTGCTAGTATAAAAATATGTATTTTTGATATTTTCCTTTAAAATTAATTTTATAATTTGGGTTTTTAACAAAATTGTAGAAAAACAATAAATAATGTTGTTCAACATTTCAAAAATATTTATCATTCATGAAATTTTTTAACATTTGGTACCAATTTTAATGCCTATTATTAAAGGGTGAATGAAAATTAGAATCAAGGTAATCCAGTGAACTGGAATAATGCATTTAATGGGCAGTTTACAGGCTCTGATTATGCTACCTGCTACGCCATTTAAATTGGAACTCATCGAATATGAAAATCATAACGATCGTATTAAAATATATATTATCGTTTAATTTAGAGATAATAGTTCCTGTTTATAATTATCAACACTAAACAAACCTTTTTATAATATTTGGCTCTGTATAATAGCCGACTACGTCGTACCTAGTTAGTAGTTACCATATTACGGTAGATATACCCGCTATAGTGACACAGAAGTTGATGGTAAAAATGGTAACCTATTTCATATGATAATATTATATTGTATTTGATAAATACTAAAAAGAGAGAAATAAGTACAATGAGTTAAAAATAATTAATACCCACTCTATCCACGTACCTATATGCAATACTGAGAATGTCCACAACATTGTAGTCATACTACTAGGTACTTGATAAACCATAAGTCATGTTAACCAGTGGCATGCATAATGTTCGATTTTTAATTATTTTAATAAAGAAATTTAGTTGCCCACCACCTTTCATTATTTAGAATTCTGACGATCACCCCTAGCGAACTCAGATTTCGTGTTTGGAGGAAACACACCAACCTTTGTGTTGGTGGTCGAAAATAATTTTCCGGATGACCGGAAGCTGCGGGGCACACGGTGACGGCAGGCACGTCGGTTGACCAGTGTAGGTAGGCCACGTCCGTTTCCCAGTACGGTTCGTTGCGGGCTACGAATTCGGCCGCATAGTTGAGTGCCAGAGCAGCCATCGCGCATCGGAACCACTGACTGCGGAAGACTGCGGCGAAACGACGAAGCATTTTTCGGTGAACGAAACGGAAACGGTATGGTCCCAGGTACAACCGAATGTGATTACTGGAGATACGACAATGTCCATAATTCACACAAGTGGTAGTATGACTATGGTGACGATGGTGATGATAAAAATAATAAATAATTATTCAAATAATGATCAATGGGGAACATTTTGATAAATCAAATTTAGCACGCTTGGCTACAGTGTTTACACGTTTTACGGTGACAACGGTCAGAGGTTATCGATACTAATAATATAGAAAAAGAGTCCAGACACGTGCGTGTGAGTGTGTTTATGGTTTGCGACGAGTAAGTAGGTATTATTGTCATGTCAGGCAATTTATTTTTTACGAGCGTCCGTCGCAGTTGTAGGAAGTACATTTGTAGCTATTTAATCATGTGATAATACAATAGATATAAATGTTTGACTTGACGTAACTACGATATACACACAGGTCATGGCCGCCATTCAACAGGTGCTTGGAAATATTTCAATTGTCTGCTATAAAATGGTATACATTTATATTGTATATCAAAAACAAAAAACATATTAGTCAAATTAAAAGTACAATATTTATGAATTGAAAAATTCCAATTCAAAGAAGATATAAACAAAAATGTAAATTTACCACGTGAATTGGGCATACAAAGCTACAAGCACACATGTGATTCTAATTGAAAAATAAAAACCTTAAATATGCAAAACCTAACTGTAAAACATGATACAGCTGACTAGCGGAATACCTTTAGTATGCAACCAATCGTCATGAACGAGGCATTAAATGGGGAAAATATGTGATAATGGACTAAGAGGAAGCAGGCCAACCACCATCATGGTAGAAATCCCGCCAATAATGACAATGGAAAACGAATCGAATGAAAGCAAGAACATCTTAATCGACAATCATCAAACTAAAATTCAACAGTCAATCAGAATAAGGGTTGAACGGCTGGTATTTATTGATGTAGGATTCGGGACCAACACTTTCGATTCCATCATCAACACTCAAATCGTCTGAACCACTTATTTTTGAAGTTATCGAACTCATTGAACAAACGAATCAAACTAATGACACGATTTATTGTTAATGGGCATTAGTGTTGGATTCCTGTCCGTGTACAGGCCCGTATCTTCATAGTGATATTTAATATTGATTTAATAATTCATAAATGACAAATTCAGCTATTTGATAGGCATCGATACATTTTATACATATTATTATGGATACAAACAAATTATTTAAACATGAAGTATTAAAACACAATTATTTAAACAAATTATAATAAAAATTCCACTAAACGCGGTCTTTTCAATAATTCGTAAAATATATACATATTTAATATAAAATAAGTACCTAACCAGAATTACAGTTTAAATTATTATAATATGTCAACAAAACCATCAACCGCTGCTTTTATAAAATAGTTATTGAACATTTTTTTTTTAATTGGTAAATTAAAATTCATAGTTCGATTATTCACGTTCTATTTCCGTAAGTAGCTACGATTTTAAAATGCATTTGTTTGAGTGTATGTACAACATTTTTATTTATCTCAAAAACTTACGAGCCAAGAGTATATTTGCTTCGTAAAAAGTACTAAAAAAAGCATGTTTTTAAGATTTTTCAGATTAGAAAAAATAAAAAATATTTCTTTAACCTAATATTTGTACAATCTGTAAAGCAATATTTTTTCAATATGTTCAAGTGATGTTTTGAATTTACAAGAAATATTAAAAAAATATGAATGAAATTTACGATATTTCAGACAAGGGCTTGTGTGAAGCGGCCATCCATTGATAGAACTTCACAACATGTAAAAGTGGGAGTTAGTCAATCGAGTAGATCACGACACCACATTCGTTTTAGGCTCCTTATGGGGCTTCAGGAATAGTGGGAACATACAGTTATGAAATCAAGGGGTTGAGGTGGTTGAGGTGATTGGAGTGAACTTAATTTATTGTAGAAAGTTTTGGTGACGTTTTTTACTGTTTGGCTAACTAGATATTTATGGAGAGTATTCATTTAAGACGTAGGACCTATGGGGCTTTGGTTATTTGGTGAAGGCATTTTTATTTTATAAATGTTGGAGGGTTTGGCAGCCTGGTTGCTTGAAGTATGGATAAAAATAAACTAAATACATAAAAGTAATGATAATATATTTATTATTTATACATCGTACAAAACTTTATCATGCACAACTTAACATTCACACATAATTAGTAATATACCTAGAACAATTTAGGTAGATCTCTATCTCAATTCTTACATTTTTTTTATCCATTTTATTTTATTTTTTCTTAAACATTTCTAAAAATACCTATATCCTCTAACTCGTAATATTGAGACACTATGCACCTTATAAGTTATAATCATAACTTTTTAGTACTCGAATATAGCATAGTTAACAGAAAATGTTGTCCAAAAAAAGCTTATCTTAACCTTGTTCATATATATATTGTAAATAGTAATTTAGATTTTAATCGACACGTTCAACATTACGAGTTGTCAGTATCTTATATTATTATCACGACGTTAGGATTTTTTTATGCAAGATTATTATCTCACAAGTTCATGCATACAAGAGTTTTCAAATTACACCCAGGAGCTCTCCAGGGGGCACTTGTCACCAGAAATGTATCTTTTTATTTTAGAATCCAATAAACGTACTAGGTAGTAAAAAAGTTCAATTTAATTTTGAAAATGGTTAATTTAATCATCACAATGTTTTCAAAATTAAAGGAGCTAATAAGCAATTATTTAAAAAAATAGACCGGAGACAATAATTTATTATAACTTATCGTTTTGATACTTATGTAATATATTGGTGTTTTGAAATTGCACACTAATATGACAACATTATCTTTTGAATCCAACCAATAGATTTAAGACCAGACTCTACCGCAAAAGAGACTGAATTTTATTAGACAGCCAATAATTGAATTTCTAGTGCTTAAAGATCTAGAGCGAATATTCTGTTGTGTGACACAAATTTCTTTAAAAATGTATGTTAGTGTATGAGTAGTATATAAACATTATATAATATTCGTGCATACATTTAAGTGCATTCATAAATAAGAGTTAGAAAATAATTATTTTTTCTAATTATCCCGTGTATTGATATTTTTATATCATAATTTTATAACACGATACTATTATAGAACAACATTTTTTGTGATATCGTTTTTTTATAGATGATATAATTCTTTGTCGTATCATAGGAAAGGTTTTTACTACTCAATTATTTTAAACAATATCTGTGTCGGCTATCAATATCAACATTCAATTATTTTTAATATTGATAACGAATTGTGACGTTATAATTAGTTATCATAGTTATAATAAAACTGTTTATCGGCTTATCATCTGTTAATGGATGTTATGTTTTAAAATCGTTTTTTATGTTAATGCATTTACAAAAATTATGAAAACTGTGAAAAGATTGTTTATAAAAATATCATATTAAAAAATAAAAATGTTAACGTTAAGTAATTACTGATGGTTATGTGTACAATTTATAATTTATACATTTTTAATTTTAACTGAATACCACCTTAAACAATTATTGTTGGCTGATGTTGTGGGGAGGTGTGAATGTTCACATAAAATAGTAGCCGTACCTGAAAACGAAGTCTGCGCACGCCTATATGCATTACATTATTATGAAGTGTATGTATTTAATCCGTTATCGCCATTGTGGCGTCAAAATCATAACCACGACGCGAGTTCCTGAAACAGCAACAATAATAAAATACAATTTCGATTGTTGTATTCATTTATAAAAATTACAGTGAATAATTTACTGTTTTGTAAGTTATGAAAAGGGGAACAGTCATGTGTGGGTGGCATGGAGTTGTTAAATAGTATTTTATTTAACAAAGTAGTCAATTTCCATATACCTACACGTAACATGTATATATAGGTGCTCACATGACATAATATCAATCCAGAGCTTCAATATAGATTTGTTCGTTAGCAAAGTACTCAGCTAAGATCATTTGGTTACATATTTTATTAAAATGTTGTCAGTACTTAATACTTACTGTCATTATAGTCTTTATCAACATCATTACCCGTGTGCATTAATAGTAAATAGCGGTTTAAGATAATGTGGGAATAGCTACGTAATTATAGTAAGTACCAAATAAAAAATTAGTATGTTGTGACAAAAATACATTTCTAAAGTTTCGAGATCATGCGCCTGCAACTGATATTTTAGGATTGACAAAAAGCGTATAAGCTGACTAAAAGAACATAAACATAGATACATTTTTGATACTTGCAGTTATAAGATTTAAATCTTAAATCAAATTTGAATTTATCGTTGTGTCTTTTAGTTATCACTCAAGTTGTTTTAAATAATTATTTAAATGCTGATAATAAAATAAAACATGTGTTTTTTTTTACCTAGAAATGCTCAATGTTACCAAGTGTGTAATCATTTATACATAAAAAAATTAGTAAATACCCAGGAAACTTTAGATAACTCAAATGTCAAATAATCAAACGGTTTTAAACTCATATCAAGCCTCACAAAAGAATTATATTTCTTTTATACTAACTGTATAATCAGTAGTAATTATTGTACACTTTAAATTTCCATTTCAATAGTGTAATGACTAATGTTTGATCACACGGCGTCTTAGATAGGCAATTTAGCTTCACCTAGGTGTATTATAGAATACAAAGCTTTCCGATATTTCAAATTTAATATTTACTAAAATTATGATATTTATTTTCTGTCGATCGTTTCAGTTAGAAAAAAACGTATGCAAAAACTAATTTGACTTTCATACGGTTAACTTAATTATTATAAATAATAAAACTGTAATTTCTTTATGATTTATTTACTTTCTTCATTTATCATTTTAAATTTGACTGTGTCATACGGTGTATTTACTGTTATTATAATTTACAAGTTATGTATCAAAAATGTTCAAATATTATATATTTACATAAGCAGACTTATTTTTTACATCCAAGACTTTGTGGTGCTTGACCTACATGTATAGTATTTTAAATACTATGTTTTCTATTCATTTCCACACTTGTCATAGAA